ACTACTCCTTCAAGTATTTTTTCTGTCCTCACATTTTCCTTTTCTTTGGCAACTTCAATTATACATATGTTTGAGTACTTGATATTGTCTCATAGGTTACTGAGGTTCTGTGTTTGTTGTTCTTGTTGAGCTGTGTGGGTTTTGTTTGTTTTTTGTTTTTTTTTTGAATTTCATTTGAAGACTTTCTATTGCAGTTTTGTGAAGTTCAGTGATTTTTTTCCCCTGCATTATCTATTGTGCTATTAACACTATTTCTTTGATCATGCTGATCAACATCTTTTTGGTTACTTTCATTCTCTGTCATTCCTGATTATGCTTTTATCAATTGATGTATTTCCTGATTATAAGTCAGTTTTTCCTGTTATTCCTTATATCTAGTAATGTTTGATTACAAATCAAAAATTGTGAATCTCACATTTTTAAGCACTGGACATTGTTGTATTTTTTTTTTTTTTAAGAGTATTCAATTTACTTGAGTTGAAACAGAATCAGTTGGATCCTTCTGTCTTGTATTTAGGATTTTAGGGTAGGTATAGGGTTAAGATTTATTCTAGGCTAAGTTTAGCCCTGTTAATAAGTTGTCAACCTTGTGAATTCTGTAATGAATGTTCCATATAGTCAGTGAAGTCTTCCCTAACCTGGCTTGTTGAGATTGAATGATTTTTTGCTTTATGTGAGCTCTAAGAATCAGCGAATCATTTATTTTGTAGCTATCCCATAATTGTTCTTTTTTGAAAAGTTGCTTTTTGCTTGGATTCATAGAGTTTTTAATAGGTGTGTGCAGATTAGTATCTATTAACAAACTCAAGAGGACTCTATGCAGATTTCTGAAGCACTTTCTATATATCTCCCCCATTTTTGCACTTTCCCTTAAAAATTCTAGTCTTCTTGGCCTTACCAAAAGCTGATCCCTGTCCTCATTTTAGTAAGACTCTGTTGTTTTCCCTGCACCATGGCCTGGGAAATGCCTCCAGGTAGAAACCTGGGGTCATTATAAAGCTCATTTTATTTAGTTTTCTCTTCCTTCCTTTCTTCCTTCCTTCCTACCTTCCTACCTACCTTCCTTCCTTCCTTCCTTCCCTCCTTCCTACCTTCCTTCTTTCCTACCTTCCTTCCTTCCTTTCTCTCTTTCTTTCTTTCTTTCTTTCTTTCTGTCTTTCTGTCTTTCTGTCTTTCTCTCTCTCTCTCTCTCTCTCTCTTTCCTTCCTTCCTTCCTTCCTTCCTTCCTTCCTTCCTTCCTTCCTTCCTTCCTTCCAGAATCACAGCCCTGTGATGTTCAGTATTCAGTTTCTAAAAGTTGTTGTTTTATATGTATATATTTTTTCAAATTTTCTAGTTGTTTATAATGAGAGTAAGTTTGCACCTACTTCCTCTTTCATGGTCAGAAGTGGAAGACCACCTTGTATAGTTTTAAATTAATTTTTATTGTTTTTACTAATAATGCTCTCATTACCATTTAGATACAATTTTCTCACTCAGTCATAGTTTGGATTTAATAATTATTAATAAAAGAGGTTGGTTTTAAAGTCAAAAGGGGAAAGGACTAAACCAATTATCTTAGTCCCTTTTCATTGAGAGAGTCAAAACTCTGGGAGCCATCACCAGCAGACTTCACCTTAGGTCTCTTGGGATTTAGGTTCTATGACTTTTCACAGCTGCCAGAGAGGCAGATAGAGGGAGAGCAATTGGATTATTATGAGTGGCATAGATTTTGATCCATTCACACTGCCGCCACCACAAACAAAACTGGGGTTCCCTTAAGCTAAAGAAAGGGAAAACAAATATTGGATAGGCAGGAAGCCACGTTTGTCTTATCAGCAAATTTTTTTTTAAATGTTTTATTTATTTCTAGGAGAGAGAGAGAGAGACAGCGTGAGCAGAGGAGGGTCAGAGAGAGAGGGAGTCACAAACTGAAACAGGCTCCAGGCTCTGAGCTGGCAGTCAGCACAGAGCCCGACACGGGGCTCGAACCCACGAACCATGAGATCATGACCTAAGCGAAAGTCGGACGCTTAACCGACTAAGCCACCCAGGCGCCCCAAATTCTTTTTCTTTAACTACTTTATTGAAGTTTAATTGACACACAGTAGACTATATGCCATATTTAAGGTGTGTGATTTAATAAGCTTTGACATGTGTTTAACTAATGAAACCATTACCACAACCAAAAGAGCAAACATATCCATTATTTCAAAAGTTTTCTTGTGCCACTTTTCATTCCTCCCTCCTGTCTCTTGACTGTGCCCAGGAAACCAGTGATGTACTTCCTATCAACACAATTCAGCTTATGTTTTCTTCAGTTTACACAAGTGGGTCATACAGCATGTACTCTTTTATCTCACTTCTTTTGCTCAGAATAATTTGGAGATTCACCCAGGTTTCTGTGTGTATCAGTCATTTATTTCTTTTTGCTGATAAGTATATTTCATTGTATATACCATACATCTACCATTCACTAATTGATGTACATTTGCATTTTTGGCTATTACAAGTAAAGCTGCTATGAATATTTGTGTGCAAAAAAAAAGCTGCAAATTTTAGCTAAAAATCTGAATGTGTTTTTGTCAGATTTTTTTTCCTATTGAGGGATTATGAGTAAGCCATCCAAGTCTCTTGTCTAGGGGGGCTAAATAATGTCTGTTTGGGGAATATACTAGCTCTTTTCCAAGCTTCCCTTTTAATTGAATGTCTATGTATTGTCATATAGTTTTTAGTCTAATTCTAACTTCTAGAATGAGAAAATGGAAATTAAGTGAGAGATGATATTTTACATCTGGCCATTATTATATTCTGCCTAAGATCTAAAAGCAAATGTAGCTTAAGCTCCCATAGGTTGTGTTAGATTTTAGGCACCAAATAGTGCCTCAGTGTCTGTGGAGATGCTCCCTGTCTATCCCTCCAAATGTGCTAAGTTTTCTTTTGCCTTGCAGAATGTTGAATAAAAAAAAATTCTGGAGTTTCAATTGTTCCCCAGTAGAAACTGTAGTTTAGTTTAACTATTTCAAATAAACATCCCAAGAGACTAAAAACTATTTTAAATAGATGACAATACCTTGTTGCATCACCTCATGCTAGTACAATTTAAATGAATGCTATCTTTCATAGACAAAAGTCTATTTTAAAATTCTATCTGTAGGGGTGCCTGGGTGGTTCAATCGGTTAAGCATCAGACTTAGGCTCTAGTAATGATCTCACGGCTTGTGAGTTCGAACCCCGCTTCAGGCTCTGTGCTGACAGCTCAGAGCCTGGAGCCTGCTTCAGATTCTTTGTCCCTCTTTCTCTCTTAAGAGAGAGATTCTGTGTGTGTGTATCTCTCTCCTAAGAATAAATAAAACATTAAGAAAAAGAAAAAGAAAAATTCTATCTGTAAAAGTGCTGAGGGAGAATTGTAAAATCAGATCATTCTGTTACTTTCCTTAGCATTTAAAAAGTATTGTTTTATTGGATCTACTTTATTTAGGCCCTGAAATAATTTTAGACAGCGTACATAGTTTTGCTTTCAAAGGTCATGAGCAAGTCTAAATATACCCAGGTTGGGACAATAGAAAGCTTTCAATCATGCATAGTTACAATATCTCTCAAACCGCACATTCTTTCTCTATGGTGGAAAACTAAAGTGTACCTAAAAATTTCAATAGCTGCACATTTTCTGGAATAGAAGAAAATAGGAAATATCCAAGTTAGATTGTGTTCAAACATGAATAGGTGAAACCTTATTTTTGTTGGAAGATGGGAACAAATGCTTTTGGATGCTTTTTGGATTTGATAAGTCAGTTTTCATTTTGAGAAATCATATTCATTTAACTTCATCTCTCAGATCCCTTTAGTACAAAAGCCATGGTCCAGGATGATCTCACTAAAAGCATAATAACCATGGTAATGATAATAACAGTAATTTGAAACAAAAACTCCACACACACAAATAGTAACAAAAACAGAGAAAACAAACAAAAGCTGGTAGAAAATACACGGAGAAGCACCAGGTCAGACATCTGAAATAAATTTTCATATTAATTTAGAAATTTCTTTTGACCCCCATGGTATATTTTCAGTTTTATAATGTTGATTACTAATGAGTTTTTGGCTGGGTCTCGGATTTTGGATGATGGTGGCAGTAAGAGGAATGCTCAGAAGCAGTATAGGTTTATTTATGTGAATATATAAAAGTGCATTGTGACGGAGAATCCTTAATTTAGAGCAGCATAAAGAATTTGAAGATTACTTCAAAGGGCATTCAAAAACCATGTATTTGAAATCCATGATAAGAAAGTATGTACTTTCCGAAGGGACAAAGTTTTCAGGGAAAGTTTCTACTACTCAGATATCCACTGAGAAGTATTTAGAAGTTTGATGGCAGAAAATGTGCAAACTAGAGATATGTTCATTCACTTGGTCCTCTACATTTAGACTAAAGGTAGTATGAGCTGCTTTCATATTTGGTTGAAATGCCTTGAGAAAGCAAACATTCTTGCGAGAGCTGCTTATCTGCTGCTCATTTTAACGAGCCCGACCCTCCTGTAATAGTTCGGCTTTTAATTTCTTCTGAAGGGTACTTCAGTCCCATACGTCTGCCAGTCCTTATGAATCCTCCCAGCCTCAGGACACTAGAAAGATCCAAAACCCAACTCTGTGTGAGACTCTTCTCATCACATAATAAAACGATGGTCACTGTGATTATAGGAGGACCAGGAAGACTTGTTTGTTTGTGTTATGGTGTACCTTAGAGTTCTCAAATTATAACACAGTGTCAGCCTAAAGCCAAAATCAACTATTTTTAAAACTATGAATTATTTTATCTAAGAAAAGTAATACATAATCATTGTGATGAGGGGGCGTGGGGCAAGTGGAGAGCAAAATATAGGCTGATTACCCCCCGCCCCCGTGAATATGTATAGTATTTTTTGGACACTCCTGGCTACCCAAGAACAAAGGAAAAGGGCTTAAGTGCTTGCCGTGGTAATATGGGAAACTAAGGCAAATGAAAAATTAAATTCCCTTACCTCCTACAGCCGATTGACAAGTCCATGAAATCAGCAGGGTGACCTCCCTCTAGGAGCTCAGCTGCCTGGATGATGACACTTTGCTGGGGGCAAAAGAGAATCTTAGCTTAACATTATCCTGACCCCTGAGGAACCTATGTGTCTACTTTAACATATAAAACTCCTTTGGAAACTTCGTTTATCTCAACTCCTTCAAGATACATGCTGGCAATCACAGTCCAAGCTTATGGCGCCCTGGTATATTGGGAGGGTCTCATGAGTGAAGTTTTACCAAACGGTAATAAGTGTTGTTTCCCTCACAACAGCTAGCCCCTCAAGGTTCTGGAACCTTGCTTTAAAAATTCTTTAGAGACTTAGACTATCCCTTCCCTCTTCCCAAACTGACAGTGTATAATGATTACCCATCACGACCCCAGTTCAGGTCTTGTCCCTGTGCTTTAATAAAATCACATTTTTGCACCAAAGACATCTTCAATAGTTCTTTTTTGGCCATTGGCTCTTGGACCACCCACCATCACCCCAGAACTTCATCAATTGAAGAAAATGTGGAAATTCAGGGTTAACTCTTTCTGTCCCATCTAACCTAACTTTTTCCAAGTAAGGCATGATGGTGTGCAGACTGTCCAGTTATCCTTTCTTATTAGGTCTTTTAGATTTTATGGAATCTCTGAAATGACTGTTGGGTAGCAGATGTGACAGACTTCAGACCGGGCAAATCTGGAACTTCATCAGCAGTCTCCAATAAAAACCAGATCTTTCCCCTGCAAACAGTTCCTTGAACCTTAAATGCAACTTGAGAGAGAGAGGAAAGAAAAACCATACTTATTCAGAGTAGATGAGAATAGTCAAACCCTAGGGTATACATTTTTGTAAGATTCCATGATTAAAATTTTCTAAGGTATATTGGACCCTTGTTTTGTTATTACCATTTGACCTTAGAATCTGTAGTCAGTTTTGGGTAGCCATTTCCATTCATCAGCAAAGAGAAAATATTGGGAGGACAATTCCATATTTCTAATACCATAGTTTTAAATACGTTTTCAGTGATATCATGTGGAACTTTAGTCTGGTGCTTAAGGTATTGCATTTTGTGCCCTTTTAACTTATTATAAACAAACAAAAAAGTCAAATGCCTCAAAGCAAAAAACTACATGGTAAGATATGCAGAGCATCCATGGTGCTTCTGTTCTAGAAGCAATTTAAAATTTCCTTTGTTGAAAAACTATTCATTTAGTTCCTTAGTTTGTTAACAGACAGCTAAGTATAAATTATAAAAAGAAACAGTCTCTACCACTTGCAAGTTTTACCCACTTTATGGTTACAGAGACTGAGAGGATGCTAACGAGAAGAAAAAGTTCCAACACTTTCCAGTTAACCAGTAATTTGACCATAATGGGAATTTTTGATATGAAGGAAATTAACATGGATTACCAAATTCCCAAGGATTAAGAACAGTCTGAGAAAAAGACATTCCATTCCTAAGTATTTGGGATGAAAATGTCCTCAACAGAGTCTTCCTTTAGTAGCTCTCAATTTATGCAGACCATTTCTATGGCCCAGTTCATGTGTCAGCTCCAGTAAGGGAGATAGTTATGCTTTATAAAAAATAACGGAGGTGTTCCGCTGCATTGGGAAGCCATTTTTAAACTGGCATCAGCAAAACCTCACCAAATCTTGTTACTGGAAGATTTTATAAATGACTTCGTTTCCCAGTTGAGATTGGTTGTGATGATAGATAGTGGTGACGATGTGGTCAAAGATGGGACTAGGAACCCATGGTCTGGTCTTACAAGGGGGTAATAGAATATGTTTCTTTTGCTTCTGCCCCGTGAAGTAAAAATGTAAGGTCATCAGGCAAAGCCCCAGAAGGTAGGCTCCAGGTTATGTTGTTGTGTTTCCTTTCTGTGTTTGTATTTGTTCTGGACAATAAACCATGATGATGTAATAAAGGGCTGGGACCATGAATTCCTATTGGCTGTGCATTGCCAGTTCATGGAGGGGCAAGTCCAACTGTAATGAATTCAGACGACATAATGATTTCAGTTTCACTACATTGCTCAGCTCCCTGGGAACCTGCAAAAGATAAGTGAATGGGCACCTATCCTAGATCCAGACATACATACAACATGAAAATAGCTGATGAAGCTTGAAATAAATGCAGAATATTAGACCAATAACAATGTTGATCATACTGTTTAGTAAAAATATTACCTAGAAAAAGTTGATAAAATGTATTTCAGGAAAGGTAAAACTTCTCAGATATCTTTCTTTGTGCTTATTTGTATACACGTAGATATAATATGCCATTGGTTCCTCATCTTTAATACGTAGGGGATTTATATAGCATATTGCCTCAATAAAACTTGGTTCATCTGAACAGTACGTGGATCAGATATGCATATTTAATTACTCTGAAAGTAGTGTACTTGTACAGATGGTGGTATTAGAGGGTATTACTTCAATTTAAATTACTTTCATTGGGAAAAAAAGTGTTCCTTGGCTATGATTTCCAAGTAAAAATTTAACTTTTGTAATGTATGGAATGTGCCTGCTTATAGTAATTATACATGAATAATCCTACATGTGTAAAATAAATATTATTTTAAAAATTTGAAACAACTCATAATAAGAAAATACAAGACTCTTTCAGGTGCAAAGCTTAGGGTGTTATGAACTGTAAACATGCAGCCAAAGTAAATAAATGAGCTTTGAAAAAAGCTCTTATTTGTAGCCAAAAGCAGCCTCCCCTGGCAGACCATGGCATCCTAACTCCTATGTTTATTCAAGCCCCTCAGGAGCCTGCTTCTTGTGTGGAACTAGAAGGAAATTAGGAGACAATATGTGAGCCGTATCCCTGGACAGACCTTAGAGAATCACAAGAACTGGTATATCCCCTAGCAGGAACTTCAGTCATTTTGTACCCCCTTCTCAAGAAAAAGAAAGGCTAACTTCCCATCGCATCTTGGTGCCTGCTGAAATGCAACCTTCATCCTGTTGAAACAAACACACACAAAAAAAATCATCACTTTCAAAGACAAGCTAGTCACAAAGAAAGACAAATGCCTTATAGCATATTATATTGATTATCACACAGTAGCTAGATATTAAAAATTGGGAAAATATAAATGCTTTTGCAAAAGATATTGTTTTCTATTATGAGATTATAAAAATGTGCCCATGTGTTTGTTCATTCTTCACTGCAAGTATTTCTTTATTAAAGTACTGTATCTCAGAGGCAGCACATGTACCATCCACCCCTGTGGTTGCTATGGTAAGTAGTCATGTTTTATTGAAAAGTAAGTGGCCACCACCCACATGAATGGCTTCCAAGTGGCCTTAGAATCTGCTCCCTCCCCCACCTTTTTTTGGTAAGCCATCATGACTTTTTTTTTTTTTTTTTTGATAAACATGACTTCTCTCCTGATTTAGAGAATGACAAAACCTTTTGCTGTGTTCTCTCAAATCTGTCTGTTAAAATGACTCTATGATGATCTATGAAGAACAAAAATGAGTCCAGTTTGAGAAACAGAAGTTAGGGAAGACACACAAAAGTGTATCTCCCATTGCAAACTTAAAAAAATTAAAACTTTATATTTTATGTAATTATAGTTTATAATGTTTGTTCATATGTATGATTTTACTCAATAATCCTTGCTTTATTTGTCAAGTCATATCAATCTTCAAAATCTTTGTGGTTACACATCCACACATACACAAAATAAGCGTATAATATAATACTTTGGGGATTATATTGTAGGATTCATTTTAAATACTGAAATGAGAAGACAGACAGCAAACATCTTGGTGGTGTGTGCATGCCTGGGGATTCCATTATAAAATATCTCTACAATGTGAAGCCATATCTTTGAAGCAAATTTTCAAACCTGCCATACTGTGTACCTATAACTTTGCTAGACACACATGGACACACAGAAGTAAATACTTGTCAGATGTTGATAATTTTACTGACTGCCAGCTTGAAACAACGTGGGATTTAATGAGGTCTCATTTCACTTCAAGTCATGACTGGCATGGGTATTCCCTCCCCTCAACCCCCAAAAAAGCTTTACCTAAAGGGCTTTGCCAAAAATGCTTAGTTTAGGATTGCCTGGCTGGCTCAGTCAGTAGAGCATGTGACTATTGATCTCAGGATCATGAATTTGAGCTCCATTTTGGATATACAGATTACTTAAACAAAATGCTTGGTTTATGAAGACAAACATTTCTGAAGACAGTGAAGGATAAAAAAACACCTTGGAATAAAAAGCCTCCAATTAATCAAACAGCATCCAGTTTCTTTAATTAATTCAGCCTAACAATTTTTGACCTTAGACATTTTTCTATCTTTCCCTTTATCTGCCTCAAATTTGGCCTGAAAATGACTGGGCAAGATCTCTCACTTTGGCCACATACCTGGAACTTGGTGCAAAAGTCATTTGGGGTTAGCTAAATTGTTATTTTCTCACCGAGACTGAAAAACTACTACCATTTCATAAAGAAGAAAAACACAGGGCAAGGTGAGAGGAAGAGATAATGGAGAGCAGTGGGATGAGAAGAGTGTTTCTTAATTATGCTGTAAACTCTCTCTGATGGGTCCTTTTCCTACCCTGCACTGTGCAGAATTAACTAGCACACAGTGACTGCCACAGATGACTCAGCGGTGGCACGCCAGTAACACAGCTGTGCCTCTGAGACGTACAGGAGGGGACTTTTTATTTTTTAAAAAGAAAGGTAAAAGAAGAAAAAAGTTTGACACAACTATGTACAAGATTTTTCCTCATTTCTATTTACTACAAATTCTTATTGGAAGGGGAACTCCTCCCCCCATATAATTCTTTTTATTGATTTTTATATTAAAGCAATTGAAAGCAATGCAGTATCATTTTCTGGTATAATAGAGCCATAGAAGCATGACAGCAGACACCTCACTGGGGAAAATAACATGTAAACGCTATACAAATTAGCCTCTTCTGATACAGTTAATAAAAGAAAATAAACACTTGCAGATGGAGTAAGAATTAAATAATACATTAAAGCTCAGCACAAGAGTTTACTGTAGTCTCTTCTTTTTATTATAA